ACAAAGCATCGGCTGGAGTAGTGTAAAGCATGCCACCACTGGACTCTGGAGCAGTGGAAACTTCTTAATGCTTCAGCATACCAAGATATTTTGGACAATGCTATACTTCCAACTTTGTGGGAACAGTTTGGGGAAGGACCTTTTCTATTCTAGCTTGTACCCAGTGCACAAAGCAAGGTCCATAAATACATGATTGGATGAGTTTGGTGTGGAAGATCTTGACTGGCCCACACAGAGCCCTGATCTCAACCCTATGAGATGAATTGGAACAGAGATTGAAAGCAAGGCCTTCTCGTCCAAAATCAGTGCCTGACCTCAAATGCTCTACTAGATGAATGGGCAAAAATTCACAAAGAAACACTCTAAAATCTTGTGGAAAACCTTTCCAAAATGGAAGGTGTTGCTGCAAAGGGGGATCAACTCCATTAATGTTTATGTATTTAAACGCAATGTCATTAAAGTCCCAGTTGTCAGGTGTCTTAATCAGTGGCGGATTTAGGTATGGGCAACCACCCAGGGCGGCATCTAGAGCGCCCACACAAGAAAAAGCAAAAAAAGGAATGCACGATCGGGTTTTTACCGTTCATTTGCACCGCACGTCAATATCATGTCACTGTGTGGGTCAGTTAACCTGGTCGGGACTCAGAGTGTGCACCCGGAGAAGTACTCTCTCACTCAGACACAGGCGGAGGGTGAACCAAGCCTAATGTTTAGACTAATAACTACGCACATCACAAACCCAGCTTTTTAGGCAAGTACCAGATATGGATGTCATGTGATAAAATATTTTTAATACTACTGAATTTGTATTTAACCTGATCACAATTTAATAAAACATTGTAAGTTACTCTTTAATTTCCACTTTTATTCACACAGCGAATAAATTACATAGAGAAAGCGAACTTTTACATTATCAAAGAACATTGAAGCTTTGACATTAATCATTGAAGCTGTCTACATTTTAAAATGAATCTCTTACTTACTATTATACATATATTTGCCCTTTGTTGTTTATGATGAGATAATTTGCGAGAGTGCAAACTGCAAAATTCAGTCTGCGAGCATGCGCACAAGGCATATCTCTGGCATTTCATCGATGTCTCATCTGAACGCCTCTGAACACCAGAGGGCATAACTAAGTGGAATATCTTCCTGTCCTCCTCCTTGTCGAGAAACTAATATAAAAGCTGTCACCTCATAACCTTAATGACGTGTCTGTCCGTAAATATCTCATTACACGTCATCACTTCCTCTTTTGTCTTCTCGTCTGAGAAACTGCAGCGATGTGAAGTGCAGCTAATCAGGACAAATTTCCGACAGCTGTATCCCTGTCTGTAAGACATATTGTTTAACATGTGAGCGTGCTCTTTCCGAACCGCCCGTAGGAATTTGGTGAAGTATTTGCATTAAAAAATAAATAACTAAAAATTGTGGGGGTACTGGTGTTTCTACAGTCTAAGAATATGTCCGCACAATGTTCGTCTTGCCAGAAGCTGATGGGACTTGATGATTGACATGACCAGTGTCCGAGCTGCCTAGGCATCGAGCATCTTAGGGAAGCTCTGGAAGATCCATGCATCCATTGCAACATGATGCCCCTAGCAATGCGACAAGCTCGCCTCGCAGGGTTAAGCATTAATGTGGAGGGAAGTATGAAAAGAAAAGCTTTGGCTTCGGCCTTCGCTCCTCTCCCGAAACAAAATAAAGTTAAAAAAAGAACTTGCTTGTAGAGTTGATGAATTGGCTGATGGAATAGGGAAAATCCAGGAGTTTTTGGCAAAACTGCAACCCCAGCCAACATCTGAGATTTCAGAATCAGGCAACGAGGGGACTGGTATTCCATCTCTCTCGCAGCCTGATTTTGCATTAATTCTAGATGAGATTGACGTGTCTCCGTGGCAGCCACAGACTCGCTGCTCTCGGAAGAACAATCTGTTTTAGATAAGGGACCAGGAATGATTGACAGTGATGATAATGCGGATGATGAGAGTGAAGGATCGCTTATGTCTGATGTTCTAGTAAACACAATAAAAACCACTTTAGCAAAATTGAGAATGGAACCCAAATCAACAATGGGAACTGCGCATACAAATCGCCTTTGCCATTCTTTGCAGCGAACTAATGTATTTGCTATTCCACAATCTCCATATTTTATTGAGGTATTCTCGCAAAGCATTTAAATCCGCTCATTCAACCAGACTGGATTGGGTTTCTCATCTGTTAGCAGCAATGGAGGAAGTGGGCCCAGTAGGTTTGGGTCCGATGTCTCCAATAGAACCCATCTTTAATTGTGCCACCTGACAAAGCATTGAGACAGGATCCAAGTTGTCCAAATATGGAATGCAGACGGACAGACAACTTAATAGGCAAAGTATACAATTCAACAGCCTGTTTAGAACTATTAATGCACTTGACCACTTGTTATTGCCAATTAATGCCTCGTTCAGTTCACCAGACACTACAGCCACAGAACTGGTTAATGTAGCTCTGTGATCGGTGGGTTCAATAGCGGGCCATTGTGGTAAAGTTATGGGGTTGGTTGTCCAGGTGCGCCGTCAAGTTTGGATAGCGCAGTCACCTTTATCTGTATGTTGCAGAGCCACGCTGCGTCAGCTTCTTCTGGTTCCCGGTCAAATATTTGGACCAGCAGCTCAGGAGGCGTTAGACCAAAGGCTTGTGGCTTCTGAAGTGCGATGTCAGTTGCAGAAACAGTGCGCTTCATTTAAAGTGCCTGGTTATTCACCCTGTTCCCCCTGGGTACTTTTCCCTTGCGTCATATCATATCAGATCATATCATTGTTCGAGACATACGACGATGGCCTCTGATAATCGTCTCCCCAAAGAAAACAAATCCACAAATTCATTATTGTCATTCAATAATGACAAATCAATGGACAGTCAGTCAACGCAGTGTCCGAGATGGTTCTCACAGAGCAAGGAAGCGGGCTCACTAGGGCAGGATGCAATGGCCCACAGTTGGTCAAGTGGTCTCCTATATGCGTTCCCATCCATTGTTATTAAAAGCCCCATGTTGGCCGAACTGCATGGTTTCATCTCCTTCACCAATTTTTAACGGGTCTGCCAGCCCAGTTACCAATCAGACCAGATCTCCTGACACAATTGAACGGCAGGCTACGGTACGATCAATCTCAGACTCGGAAATTGTGTGTTTGGTCATTGGAGGCGACACCAGACTTCTGGTCTGATCGCAGGGGGTCAGGGACACTGTTCTAAATGCTCACTCTCCATCGACTAGGGCATTGTATCAGAATAGGTGGAAACTCTTTTTGCGATGGTGTAACAACCATCAAATAATTCCCCAAACGTGCTCCATACCTGATATTCTGGAATTTTTGCAACGTTTTCTGACGATGGGCTGGTCGTATTCCACAATAAGGGTTTATGTGGCCGCGATTTCAACACACAGTGGTCTCATAAATTGGTGGTCTCACTCAAATTGGTGATTGCTTTATTAAAAGGTGTTAACCGGTTAAATCCTAACTTGATTTAGGGGTGGCAGAGGGCATGGTTCACCCAGGGTGCCATACAAGCCAGAACCGCCACTGGTCTTAATACTTATATCCAGTGACTTCAATTTTACACATAATAATCCACGATGATCACATTACACAAAACTGAAATTGCACGTCAAAATAACACATTGTCAATGTTTTTTGAGACCCCCCAAAATTTCACAAATCACGTTTTCAGGGGAGCCCATGTCTTATTAAGCGGAGCCGAGCTCCCCCGTAGTTCGCACCCTGCTTATTATCCCACAATGCAGTGCTCCAATTCCATGTGATGAATGAAGTGCATTTACATCAGTTTTAGTTCACTAATTTTTAGTAATTTTGTTGCTTTTGTCATTTTTATTAGTTTAAGGTTTAATTTAACGTTAAAGTTTATCAACAAATATATATATTCAATTACAGCTTTATTTTAATTGCTAAAAACGTTTTATTTTTAAGTTAACAATATTGTGCAATAGATTTCCATACCACACACAGCCCATACAGAATGTAGTATGAATGTAGTGTTATTTTAGTATTATACTATTATATTATTTATTAATATTTTTATATATATATAACATTATTTTTTTTTTACAAACGATAGCGCCAACTAGTGCATGTGTCCTAAAGGAGTGGGTGGGATCTGAGTCTTTACTAAGTTTGGTGTCTCTGCAGTCCCTGACGCCACTTCTTGGCAAGAAGAGAAGTAATACATCTAAAGAAGAGAAAGTCAGAAGTGGCTCTATTAGCGTGGCTGAAGAGGCTCGTGATAACCGATTACAGACGCGATGATAAAACTATGATCTGAGTGCTGAACGTGAACTCTTGAATCTGCTGCGTGGCATTATCGGACGGGAAGTCTCATCTGCACTCGCGGAGGAAACCATGAAGACAGTAAAGCACTTCAGACCGTTATCCGGCACACTTTAAACATCTGTTGATGTAAAATGATCGTAAATGACATCTCTTACGCGTGAAGTATCCTGCGCAGACTCGCCGTGAATAATGGATCAGTCCGTGGCAATTCAAGAGACTTTGGCCAAAGGAGAAAACTGCACCATAGTATCCTCTCGGCGCTCATCTGAAACCGTGATTGCATTGCAAACGTTCAGAAGATTAAAGCCTTGCTTTTGAAATCGACTGCATGTTTTAAGATTGTTGCGAAAATTTGCGCTCACTATGTATTGCCTAAGTTACCCTATGCATGCCTATAAGAAATATATTTAAATTGTAGTGAATATCACGTAGTTAATATTCTCTAGATTTGTATTTACAGTGTATCAAGCACCGTGTTGTTGTTGTTTTTAACCGAGCGTGCCCAGTTTTAATAGAAAAAGGAAATTCCAGTATGTAATTCCTGACGGGTCCGCTAGATGTCGCCAGTGTACAGTGTTAAAACGCCTCTAAAATAAACCGAGCATCAGTCATCATGAGATAGAAACGTGATGAATTGTGTTAGATTTCCTTAGCAGCCCAACACATGCTGTGGAGTGTGTTTCACTGCTGAATGATGGGAGAGAGAGCAAACTGATTGGACTGGTGCAGCAAAACAACGAACATGCGTGAGTTTATGGACTTTTAAGAAAACCAATATACTCATTTTCAACAATAGCATTAATATACATTACTACATAATCCACAATTGTAATTTTGAGGGGTTTAGTCCATGTAGTTGCAACATCTATCATCTAAATCTGACTAAAGCTTTTAGCAGGTACCCAACGAACTTCTGCCAAGGTTCTCTCAAAGTTATGAACAAACATTATTCCAATAATGATAATAGAATGCTTGTTCGAAGGTGTCCGGTCTTTAATAACGATCTCAAAACGTTAGCACAAAGACACTGTTTATATATTAATTGATATATTAATTAAACTTTTTGTTAAAGGGGTCATATGATGCGATTTCACGTTTTCTTTTCTCTTTGGAGTGTTACAAGCTCTTGGTGCATAAAGAAGATCTGTAAAGTTGCAAACACTAAAGTCTCAAATCCAAAGAGATATTCTTTATAAAAGTTAAGAGTCAGCCACACCTACCTAAAGCGCCTCGTTCTAACACGCCCCCACATGTCTACGTCACGATGTGGGAAGATTTGCATAACGCCGCCCAAATGTTCACGCAAAGAAAGACGACGTAACTTTTATTCTCGCTGTAGTATTGTTGTTGCTGCCGCCATGTCGTGAAGACGCTGTGTTTCGTTGTGAAAGCGAAACTACTTTGTTTGGTCTTCCAAAAGAGGACGATATCCGCTTCGTCATGCCTGGAGCTGATCCGTGCTGGTCGCTGAGGAAATACAACAATTTTGCGCTGTGGATTGCCAGATCGGCTTTCACCGTGGACGAAGCGTAGTCCAGCCCGGGGTCGTCACATGTGCTTGCCACACGCCCACCGGACGCTCCTTCGTCGAATCCGCCGGCCGCGCCGTTCTCTACTGAGCAGTGTAAAGTAGCACTTGTTGTGATTTCTCCGATCACAAATGCAGACATGGTTTTATGTTTACGTGGTGCGATGCAACGCAACGCGTAAAAACAAATGCCTCGTTTATAATGGGTTTTAATGTTTTTGTCTCATCGCTCCGGCCGGACACGGCATCACAGTACGGTGAGGGGCGTAACATTTCCGTCACACGCTTGAGGTATTCAGCCAATCACAATGCACTGGATAGCTGGCCAATCACAGCACACCTCGCTTTTTCAGACCGATGAGCTTTGTAAAAATCGATGTGTTTCAGAAAGGCGGGGCATAGAGGAGAAACAATAATGTACAGTATGTGGAAAATAATGTGTTTTTTGAACCTTAAACCGCATAAACACATTGCATTACACCAAATACACAGCATAATGTTCTTTTTAGCAGCATCATATGACCCCTTTAAACAGTTTAGTTGGACATTCGTCTAACAGTTTTTAAATGTTACTGATGGTTTCTTTTAAACGTTACTTAGTTTTAGATGATTTATAGAACATTCAAATATAGCATTCCCATAATGTTTGCAAGATGATTAAATTGATCGTTCCATTAATGTGGTCTTTTTGCGTTCACATAACCAAGAAAAAACATTTTTAAACATTTTCGTTACAGTTTCATAACTTAATGGGACCGTTAGCAAAATGATCTTAGATCATGTTTTTGTTAGCTGGGTATACATCCAAAATTGACATTCTTTCTCTTCTGGGAAAACAAACCAACAATAAATGCTTTTATAAATTATTTATTATACTTTATTAGTATTATTTTGAACTGTTACTGCCTTTTAGTAACAGCATGTACGATTAATTATATAATTGCAAAAATCATAAAAACAAATGATGTTGCAGACTTTCAACTTGTCCGGTTTATCTTATTTAATTTTTTCAGGCTATTCATATATTCCCATCGAAGAATGGCCATCACTGGTGATGATGTCACACTGGATGAAATCATACCCATTTCTTATGACTTTTCAGTTGTTGAAGGTAAGACTGAATGATTTGATTAATTTTAATTGCAAGTGCACTTTCATGGTAAATGTTAATGGATATTAATCTGATATCTCCACAGTTTCATCTCCAGATGAGCTTGCTGTTGTTGGTGAGCATTAATTTTCATCTCAGCAGTTACAGTGTTTGCTGCTACACGACATCCAAAGTTACCATAAACTCAGTGCATCGGTATTCGGCGTGGGCTATTTTAATGGCTAGTTTATTTGTCTCTACAAAGGTGCAGATACTCGGGTACGAGTAACGTTTTTCGAAGAGGAGTTGGAGCTGAAGTTACCTTTTGGTTCTCATACCCGTCTCTTCCTCGGTGAAGTCAATCGGGCATGGAGTGGTAAGACATTATGTTATGATAAAAGTTCTTATAATATCATACGCATCTCATAAAGTTCCTTTTACACACACTACCTTTCAAAAGCTGCTTTTATTTAGCAAGGATGCATTCAATTGATCAAAGAGACGGTACATTACAAAAGATTCTAGTTCAAAAGAATGCAGTTCTTTGAACTTTCTATTAATCAAAGAATTCTGAAAAAAACAAAACAATGTATCCCAGTTTAGAATGATTTCTGAAGGACCACGCGACACTGAAGACTGGAGTAATGATGCTGGAAATTCAGCACTGCATCACAGAAATAAATTATATGTTAAAATGCATTCAAAGAGAAAGCTGCCATTTTTAATTCTAAAAATATTTCGCAATATTACTGTATTTTGAACAAATAAAGGCAGACTTGGTGAGCATAAGACACTTATCAAAAACACTAAAAATCTTTTAAAAGCCTTTGGTAAAAATGCGTGAACACATTTAATCTTATTCGGATGCTTGTGTGTAGAACTATTTGGTCATATTCAGTAGGGGAATCCACATGGCAGTGATGCAGAAGAAAACGTTTCATTCGTACCGTCCATAGCAAACCTGCCAAACGCGTTTCCATTCATCCTAATGAAATGCTCAAACCCATTCAAACACAGCAAAGCTGTCTGAAAGCGAAAGACATCAGCTGACCTGTTCTGTCATTCATTTACCTGGTAAAATGGTACTTTTGGAATCATTGTGTAATAAGCGTTTACAAGGAAACCCAGCTATACTGCCTCCGAATGCTATATATTTCTTTATAAAATCATCTATAGGTTATTCAGACTGAAGAAGCTAAGCAGCCAGTGTGCTCAACTCTCAGACAACAGCTAAATCTAGCAAATACACGTTAAGGAAGACACGAGAGAGAGAATACGATTGCGGAACAGAAGGGTGTGAGAGGCAGAGTTTGAGTTCAAAAGAAGTAGGTTGTCTGCTTCTACTCGGTTTGTGGCTTTGAACATACAGAATAAGTAGCAGATTGCTGTTTGCTCCAATGATTGTGGACCTACAGTATATTTTCGTGATTTGAACATGAATCATCGGACGGTCTAAAGAGGAAATGTGCTTCTGCTAAGTGATGTGTAACCAACGCTGGAAGGACTTTCATCCCTTGAGCGCTGATGGCGAGTATCAGGGGCTCAGCAGATGTGCTCATTAACCGGAAGAATATTAGAAATTTGCAAGGTAAGCGGCAACACGGTTGTAGATCAGTTGTGGTCATATAGAAACTATAGACAACAGCAGCCTGACTTGCATGCAAAGGGAAGTTAGAGCTCGTCTGTGTGATTAGATGTTGATGTTAGTGTGAGATTGCGGCTGGTAGTTCTGAGAGAGAGAACGGCAGCAAAGGAAAGAGGAAAATACAGTTCCTCTTTGCCTCTTCGAAAATACAAAGAAATCATTAATGTCCTTAGAGTGAGACCAATCTATTTAAATCATCGTTTTTTTCTACATGAAATTGGAACTTTAATTCATCTATGTAAAAAAAGTCAATTGTCTTTTAAACTTTTAGATGTCTGTGAGCAGTATCCGAAGGATGAACCAAAATTCGACTGGCTTACCAAGTACCGTAAGATGTCAAAAGGAGCTCGATCACTAAGAAAGTCAATTGGAGCAACAACTGGCAAGATGAGTCGAATTAAGAAATCAGGTAAGCGTTGCATTTGCCAGTTCAGCTTTGCCATCACATCAAATTAATTGCATTTTAAAATACATTCAAATAGAAAACGGATATTTTAAATAGTAATTATATTTCACAGTATTATAGTTTTGACTGTGTTTTTGATCAAATAAATGCAGCCTTAGTGAGCATAAAAAGCATTGCAAAAATCAGGCAGGTGTCAGGTGTATTCGCACGTGTTCAGAACATGATGTGCTGTCACTCATATCCTAAGCAGATAGTGTTCAGAGACTTCAGTGAAGCATGAAATCAGGGAAGCGCTGAATTCTTGCAGTACAAAGTAGGTTCTTCATGGACCTGTGAGATGTCTCTGCTTTGTGTTAATTAGTGATAAAAACTGTATATTTGCTTTAACTGATTACTGTACAGTGGTCTCTATAATCATGCAAACACTGAAACTCTTACAGAAAAAAATAATGTGGCCGTTGCACTTTCAATTTGCATGAACTTCTTTTAGTAAACAGACCGGTAGATCCGCATGCACTGCATCATCAGCACTGTTTTTATAACCTCAGTGAAACCACCAGCTTGTTAGATCATTAGTAATCTGTATCTCCTGTAGCAATGTTACTGGTATGGTATTCATATTTTCAATTTATATTTTCAGTTTTTGTTTTAATTTTAGTTTGTTTTAGTCATTTTGTTATCTAATTATTTTTTTTTTAATCTATTTAGTTTTAGTTTGTGCAATCTATAACTTAAACATATTTATTTCCAAGGCAACATTTCTAACTTAACATTTTAAAGGGATCCTATTATGCTTTTTCACTTTTTCAACTTTAGGTAGTCTGTAATGTTGCTGTTTGAGCATAAAAAAGATCTGCAAAGTTACAAAGCTCAAAGTCCACTTCAAAAGGAGACATTTTATTTAACAGAAATCACTTTTCAAAAACTACAACGAATACCAATCACAGCACACACTGGCCCAGCTGACCAATCACAGCACATTTCATATTTCAGAAGGCGGGCCTTCATTTAATACAGGAACTATTCGAGCCATTCATGCCAGACAACAGGTGTTGTAATAATGTAAAATATGTGAAAAATAATGTGTTTTTCGAACAACCTGGTATGAGAGCCTGTTCTAGTACACCCCCAAAACAAAATCAAGACTTTGTAAAAGAGCATAATAGAACCCCTTTAACTTTTTAAGCTTTTAATTTATTTGCATTTATTTAACAAAAATTATTTTTGATAGTTTAAATAGTCTTATTGTCGATAACAACCCGCAGGCACACTTTCTACAATGTCTGAATTCACATTTGCATTATAGTTGTAGGCCTATAGTTGTATATACATTACAGGTTAAGGGAAGATATCACAGGATACATTGTTGGACTGGAATTTCGGTGTTGTTTCTCAATAACATGCTCATTATATTTATAGCTGAGTCTGATTCATCTCAATCTATATGGGCTTACATTTCTGCCACAATTCTGCGCGCGAAAGATCATATTTTGAGCGCACAAAAGTGCATTTTGCACGCGCGCGATCTGAGTTTGTGGAGAAAATGTTCATTTCGCAAAGAAAAAAGTATTTTGAGCGCACGGAAATCAATTTTACATTTAAAATACGTTTTTGGATGTGTGCAGACCTTCTCTTTTGCGCGTGCAACGTTTCACTAGCTTGCTCACCTGATGCCCCCCTCTGTGCTCGCTAAATGCCAACAGCTCGCGTGCTCAACACAACCCAGCGTTACAATGTGCCGTAATTCCAACCAATCAGAGACAGAGAACAATAATATATAGATTATAAATTATTAAATACAAGATTAATAGTAGTTATTAAGATTGATGTCGTTTGGAATTGGTAAAATGTGCTTGGAAAAAAATATGATCAGAATATCAACTTGCGTAATAATTATGCATGCACTGTATTTGTTTGTAAATGTTGTGATCTGTCAAGGCAGCCAATCAGAATTAAGCAGCCTCGGTCTCTGATTGGCTGGAATTACGGCACATTGTAACGCTGGGTTGTGTTGAGCACGCGAGCTGTTGGCATTTAGCGAGCACAGAGGGGGGCATCAGGTGAGCAAGCTAGTGAAACGTTGCACGCGCAAAAGAGAAGGTCTGCACACATCCAAAAACGTATTTTAAATGCAAAATTGATTTCCGTGCGCTCAAAATACTTTTTTCTTTGCGAAACGAACATTTTCTCCACAAAACTCAGATCGCGCGCGTGCAAAATGCACTTTTGTGCGCTCAAAATATGTTCTTTCGCGCGCAGAATTGTGGCAGAAATGTAAGCCCATAAATCTATTGCTTTGTGTTCGACCGCGCGAGGCTGCAAACGAACTTGAAACGTCATGACGAATCCTACTATGGCAAAGGCGGGGCTCATGAATATTTAATGACAATGTGACGTTAATCCAACGGCCTATTTGATTGGCTGCAAAGCTGACGTTTGTGAAGACTCACGGCTGGACGTCAGAATGACTACATTAATATTCATGGTCCTTCAACATAGTGCTCGGTGCCAAAAGCGATTTAGAGACAAATGAAGTCGAGTCGGTCCGTGTGTAACTACAGTCAGAATGCGAAAGCAGGGAGATGTCTAACACGACTGGATTAAATGGTAAGAAAGGTGCTCTCGGTTAGATATACATTTAAGCAAAGTGAATCGATAACTATAGATATCTCCACTGTTACTGTTCGTTCGGTAAGCAGACATAAAATAACTCTGTTCTTCTGGTTTGTCTCAGTGCAGTGTGTTTAGTCGTGATTGACTCTGGCTGTGTCTCAACCCCTAGTGAGCTGCCTGTCTAGACAGCACTTCTGGGCGTTCCGACTCGTGGAGCGCCAAACATGCTCGATTGTGCTAACATTAATAAATAAAACCCTTTTGATATTCAGAAGTGCTTTGATATAGAAACAAATGAATGTGAGCATGTGTACTTATGGATGTAGTAATCTAACAGTGTTATAACCTGTTCACTTCTATGTATTACCTTCTATCTTCATTTACTTTTCTGCTCATTTGCTTAATTGCCACTAACACTATTAAGCATTATGGAGTAGTTGACTGCAGTGCCCTGCTTTGTTTGACGTATCATTCCACATCTATAAAAGTTGAATTCTGGAATATTTGCACTTTTACTATTTATTTGTCACACCACAGGACTATTTTAGAAATGACCAAAGATTAAAAAAAAAAGAGTAATGAAAATTCATGAAAAGCCAATTTCATCATCTGAAATAAAAAATTTGAGAGCACATATTAAGCCTGGGATTCAAGATCTGGGCCTGTATTCTCAAAGCTTCCTCTCGGAGAGCTCCTGACTCAGTGTAAGCTTAGCTTAAGAGTGATTCAGGAGCAGTGCTGACCCCGTTGCTAGGCATTACACATCCTTTTGAAGACTGTGATTGGATGTCCAAGAAGAAGAAAAAAAATCTATTATTTCCTATTTCTTAGTTTACCCTAATCACACACACATATACACAAATGTATTATTCCACCTGTCATAAAGTGAGAAAACAAGCATTTTAGGAATCTGTCAAAAATCTATTACATTTAAAATTCTATTGTCATTCATTGGGCCAATAACAATCTGAAACAACTAAATAGTTTTAACTCACACATAATAACAAAAATGAAACTAAATATATTTTTTTAACTATAGTTTATTTTTATTTTGTATGGCCTCCTTTGGCCTTGATAACGGCTAGCATTCTTGCTGGCATTGTTTTTATGTACTTTTCCACAGTCTTTTGTGTGATCTATCTTTAAAGGGGTCATATGATGTTGCTAAAAAGAACATTATTTGGTGTAATGAAATGTGTTTATGCGGTTTAAGGTTCAAAAAACACATTATTTTCCACATACTGTACATTATTGTTTCTCCTCTATGCCCCGCCTTTCTGAAACGTGTCGATTTTTACAAAACTCATCGGTCTGAAAAGCGAGGTGTGCTCTGATTGGCCAGCTATCCAGTGCATTGTGATTGGCCGAATACCTCAAGCGTGAGACGGAAATGTTACGCCCCTCACCATATTGTGATGATGCCGTGTCCGGCCGGAGCGACGAGACAAAAACATTAAAACCCATTACAAACGAGGCATTTGTTGCATCCAGTGGGGACATAATTACTGATTATAATGACTTATACTGTCTTTTTACGC